CCTATGGTGTGTGAGACCCTGAGGTGCCCTAAATCCTCACATCAAAGGTKTCTGTCAAAAACAAAACGGCAAACAAACAAAAACTTGACTCCCATACAAATATACAGTGAACATACATAAAAGCTTCTGCWCAACTTGTTAATTAACAATGGAACCATAAGATCTTTCTACTTGATTAGTTCAGAGTGATTTGAAGAGCAGACATTCATATAGATAATCAGGAATCTGAAATGAATATTTTKAATAGATGCAAAACTTGTCAATATTTTCAAATGATGAAGAGATGTGCAAATGAATGATTCTTTAGAGCAAGATAATAATAGTAATTATTTCCAGAAAGATGAAGTTCTGCCGTTGTATAAATTCCAAGTTCCTGGCTGAACATTTTACGGGTTATGATAAAAACTGGTAGGTCTCAGAAAATGATGAAATTCTTCAGCCTACCTCCAGTAGTAATCTCTCACTTGTATTGGAAGGAACCTCGTCATTCTTGAGAAAGTGGGATGGGTACCCTAATGCTTTACAATTCTCCGACTTTCTATGTGGTTCACGTGGTTGCTACCGGCATATTATAAAACCTCATTTGAGTTAGTGCATGTTTAAAATGATGTCAGAGGGAAACACACAGATGGAAGCCAATGTCAGGAGTGCTGAAATTAAAAATGCCTAGGATGAGGGATTCATTTGAAATGGTAATTGACCAGAAAGCAGATTCCAATGCATGAAACCCCAAAGTATCCCAGGCCTGGCCCTGTCAAACTGCAACTGAGTCTCCAACTTCTCTCCAGCTTTCACATTCTCAATCCTGCTTCTGAGGTGCTGCCACTGCCTGGTCCCATCCAGCTCTTTCCTTTTCTTTATTTAAACTGGATGGAAGTTTTCTTCCTCTGCCTTTGAATTAATATGCAATGGGATAGACAGATGAATCACAAATCCTACCTGAAGGTGCTCAAAGTACAAAAAGAATGTTTTATTGGCTTTTGGTTATTAAACACCATCGATGTTATTTTTGGCATCTAAGCCCAGAGGCAAGGGAGAAAAAAAGCAAGAGGAATGGGGAACTCACGAGGTAAAACATTTACAGGAGAACTGGTCTGCTCCAAGTTACGCCCTGTCACTCTCTCTCTCTCCCCACTCCCTGTCACTCTCTCTCTCTCCCCACTCCTTCCTCTCCCCCTCTCCCTGGCTATGGCACCGCAGTGCTGAGATGGTACAATTCTTTCTCTAAAGGTTCATACACTGCTATTTCTGCCGGTCACAAAAACACATTAGCATAATTATTATTGTTAAACATATTTATTTTGCTACAGTCTATCATAAATAAATCCCTGGTCTGCCACAGATGCATCTGAGAAGAGCCCTCTACCACCCAACCGGTGACCTTCTGAAGGATGAGCCATTTCTCATCTCAGCCAGAGCACATGCTTTCTGTGCTGTCCGTGTTTGGTGAATGCCTTCAAATCCAGTTAACCAAATATTCCTTTTGTTTTTGGTACCAGGGATTGAACCCCTGGTCACTTAACCACCAAACCACATCACCAGCCCCCCCCCCCTTTTTTTTTTTTAAATTTGAGACAGGATCTTGCTAAGTTGCTTAGGGCCTCGATAAGTTGCTGAGGCTGGCTTTTAACTTGCGAATCTCTTGCCTCAGCCTTCTGAGTGGCTGGGGTTACACATCCCACGCCCAGTCCCAAATAGTCCTTTATCCCCAGAGTAGTCTCAAAACAGTTGATCCAGACATTCCAAGATCTTAAATTCCAAGGAAGTCAAGAGGGATATACAGCCCTAGCAGTGGGCCTGGCTGCCCTAAAAGAGCTGYTGCAGCCTCAGCTGGACCTTTTGCTCTACTTCCCCATGGAGACGGTGGGCGACATAAGAGGGAGGACCCTAGAACAGTGACTGCTGGGACATCTGAAAAGTGAAATTATTTATTTTGAATCATAGCTATTCATGGTAGAAATTGAGAGGTGAACTTGAACTGGCAAGCCTATTTTGTTTTAGTCTTAAAGACTCAAAAAAAAAAAAATATCTAAAACCACCATCACAAACATCTTGTCCAGGGAAGAGAAGGTTATTGAGTTACCAACTTATATGTAGTCTGACAATAATTAATTTCAATTAATTTTCTTTCTCTCTTTCATTATTTCCTTCCCTCTTTCCCTTCCTCCCTCTCTCTTTCTTTATTCCTTCCTTCCTTCCTTCCTTCCTTCCTTCATTCCTTTGTCTTTTTTCTTTTTTGTGCTGGGGATGGAACTCAGGATCTTGGACATGCTAAGCATGTACTCTACCACTGATCTATAACCTAAGCTCAGTGCTTCATTTCTAAAGCCATATGATCTTCATAATGTTTGTTGAAACTTAGTTTTCTTCTCTCAGTTTTAATATTCCCTTTATTATAGTTAGCCACTGTGATTTAGCCTAATGCAGTCAAATAGACCTGCAATAATGGATATATCCTGTATCTGTGACATCCAAAATGGCAGCCACTAGCCCCATTGAGCATGGCCACTGCACTGAAGTCATGGGAGGTGCCGTGACTTGCAGTTTTGGCAGAACCTGATCAAATCTTTTACTTCTTAGCAAAGTATTCTTCCCAGAACGACATGCCATCTCACGTTTAGATTTCAGCCAACAGGGAAAATGAGGAGTGATTTCAGAAAGAGAGACCTTATTTTTTGTATCATATGACTCTGAGTATGTGTGGCAATAAACTTCACTTCTGTTGGCCTGGCAGACAGCATAAATACAGAAATGCAGTTGAACTAAATAGCAGGAGTGTAGGATTAGGGCTCCATGCTAAGTGTAACAGAACTAACTATTAGGTCTTACTACTCTCTGTGGAAGGCTGCCCAGAACATCAGCCTTAACATTGCCTTAACATTAGGTTCTATTTTTCTTTGCTTATTGAATATCCACAATGGTCCAGATGAGGAGGTGCATTAAGACAGTCAAAGCATTCAGTGCCTACGAAAAGACAGGTAGTCAGCAGCCATTTCAATCAGATGTAACAATGTCTCTAGAGAGTGTAACCCATTCTCTGGTGAACTGGCCAGGTCTGGGTTCAAATTTAGGTCTTCTCTTACTAGACGTGTGACCGTGGACAAATTTTTGAACCTGTTTTAGCTTTACCTTTAAGATGGAAATAATAATAATATGATCTCAAACTGTTGTTGCTAAGGTTATGTAAAAATTCATTTGAAACACTTGGCATAGAGCCTCATTCATAGAAAATGCTTATTGAACGCTGCTGCTCAGCACTACTGCAACTACTGTTATTATTAGGATTGGAACCAGTGCGTATATCAGAGTTGTCACCATTTTGCAGGCAAGGAAGCTGAGGCTCAGATTAAGCAGCAAAATCACAGGGATAAAATGTGACAGGACCAGACTTTGAGGAAGATTGAATCGAGCTGTTCTCTAGAGAGGGTACTCACTTTCCACCTACCTGGCCTTCTCCCCACCTTCTTCCAGCTAGCTGCCTCTGAACTAGTGGGGTGGCCCCAGAGCAGGAGGACTGCAAAAGGGCTTTGAGCAGAACTGAATAGAAGCCTGGGGTACCATTAACTTTGCCATGTCCTCCTGTACTTTTCAGAGTTTTATGAGCAACCATTTTCTGGTCCTGGAAATATGCACATTTGAGATCAATGTAAACTCTTAAAAAATAAGACTTTTCTCTCCTCCCAGTATCTGTTTTATGCTGAAGTAAATAAAAGAGCTACTGAGTTAGCAGTCCTGCACATCATTTGTCTGTAGGTCTGTACAACCATTCTTCTGTCCTTCCATCAGACCATCCACCCAGGCATCCATATCACAAACATTTATTAAACACCTGCAGGATGCTAGACACTGGCTGGAGAATGCTTTTCTCCCCAAGTTCTATTTTTCCTACCAGACAGTACAGTCATCCCTTGGTGTCTGAGGGGAGGATAAATTGGTTCCAGGATCCTGACAGATACCAAAATGTGCAGATGCTCAACTCCCCTATATAAAATGGCATAGTATTCACATATACCCTATGAATATTCCCTCCTGTGTTTTAAATCATCTCTAGATTTCTTATAGTGCCTAATATAATGTAAATGCTATGCAAATAGCCATTGCATCGTATAGTGCAGGGAAGGACCACAAGAAAAATCTGTACATAATTGGTGTAGATGCAATTTTGATGGTGAATATTTTCCATTGCCCTTGGTTGAGTCCACAGAAGTGAATAGATAAAAGGGCCACTGTATTTTCCATTCCAGATAGTCAATGGTAAGTGAGGGTGTGGTGCCTATCAGTGAGGGAAGTTAAAGGAAGGGGTGGTTACTTCTGTAAGAACCTTGAAGATTCTGGGAATGCCAGGCAACTCAGCCCAGGAAGGCCTACATGTAAAGAGTGATTAGGAGGTAGTGTGCTTCCTGCTATAGCGGATGCCTGTGTGCATAAATGCAAAGTTCTGCTTAATGGCCTTTTTTTTTTTTTTTTTAATGATTCCAGTAAGTAACCATTGTGATTTTACACCATAAGAACCAAATGATTCTGGGGCCGGGTGTGGGCTTGCATAGGGGTTCAACCCTGGGGCCTCTCTCATGCTAGGCAAGCATTGAGCTATGTACCCCCAGTCCCAGATCTGGGTTTTGTTTAGCAATTTTCTCTAAAGTTTTTTTGTTTGATTGTTTGTTTGTTTTAATGCATTTGGAGCAGGCAGGGATGTCTAAAGTGGTGGGTGTGTGTGCGTGGGAGTGGGGGACAGGCAGTCCGCAGAGTCAGCAGAGGCATCTGAGAAGCAAGGAATTTTTAAGGGATAGCTGCACTCCATGTAGAGGGCTCTGACTGGCGTAAAGGAGGGCATAGAGGGTCTGAGCACCGCTCCCATAGCAAGAAATAAATGCTGGCCAGGTCTAGGTGGATTTCCGCGGGCATTGTGGCCGGCTGCTCAGACTGTCCAATCAGAGTGCGGCCAGAAACCTAGGCTTAGTGATCTTTAAGTTACTGAGCCAGGTCCCGACACACCCGGCCACGCGCTCAGCTCTCCCGCGGCGGTTAAGTACGTTTAAGTAGTCATTCCTATCCCGGCGGTTCCATGCTCAGTTCTTGGCCCGGGCAYAGGGGAAGCGGCAACAGGTCCTCGCGGACACCCTCGGCTTCCCWCACCCGCATTCCGCAGCGTGCGTGGGTGCGGCTGCCCGGCGGTCTGCACCCGTTMGCGACCCAAAGGCTGGCCAGCCGGGCGGACTCTCGGGAATCCACCCCGGTGGTCTCCGGAGCCAGGTTTTAAATAATTCATGAGCTGGGCCCCGCGAGCGGGGCAGTGAAGGGAGAGGTCCGCGGCAGCGGTGAMGAAAGCCGGAGATGGAGCAGGACCCCGGCGCGTGGTGAGTAGCTACGACCTCCCTCCGGAGCCGGAGAGGGGTCTTCGGACTGGCAGGGGGACTGAGCGGTCCCCTTTCCCRAGTACTAAGGACAGGCCATGGCGAGAGGAGAATCTCTCTCTGGGCATCTCCCTGCCCCGGTAGCAGGTGGCTGGAGCCCCGGTAGCCACYAGGGAACTGGAGGGGCAGCGAGAAACCGGAGGTGGCCCAGGAACCACGCCAACCCGAGGTTCCGAGATGTTCTGGGAGAACCGGGTAGGGAGCGCAAACTTTTCCGGCTGCGCGGTGGCCGGCGTCGCACGGCGCCGCTGGGGTCTTCCTCCTATTCTTTGGAGTGGAGCCGGCAATTGTGGGTCTCCAGGTGTCAGGGCATGAGATGGCGAGGGAGGCCCCCCGCCCCCGAAGGCCTCAGGCTCGCCCTTGGGGAGGTGGTGAGCGAGGGGAGGCTCGCCAGGGGTTTAGGAACTTTTCCGCGGTTAGGGGAGCGCTGGTGGCCCAGGGGACGCAGGGTGCCGAGCCTCTCCGGTGGAGCCTGGAAACGGCCAACCTTCCTCGGTTTTGCCAAGCAGAGTGCGCTGTGCAACTGACCGTAGTAGGAGGGGGATCTGGGGTTGCAAAGGGAACCGGTTCCCGGGGGGGCCACAGGAGAGCGCACGCGCCCTCAAGGTGGAGCACCACCGCCTCTCCACCCTCCACGACCCGCTGGTTGCTCAGCTCCGAGAGCTTGGGCTTTCCTGGGATGGAGAAGCGGAGTGTTCCGGATGCACCCTGCCGGAACGCGCCGACCGCGACAACAAAGGGGAACAAGGACAGACGAAGAGCTCCGCGGCTGCAGGAGASTCGGGGTTCAGGATCAGTTTCCCTGAGAGCAGGCCCGAGGGCGGAGGGGCAAGGGTCCAGATCCCCCGCTCTCTGGCGAGAGCGCCCCCAATCCATGCCCACGCGAGGCCGCCGAACGGAACTGGCGCCGACGCGCTGGGGGCAGCCAAGTTACTCCGGCAACCCCCTCCCCGGAGCGGCGCGGCGGCCGGTTCCTGGAGGCTCCCGACTTCCCGCGCCCGCGTGGCCGCCCATTCTTTTGTGTCCCGCAGCTTAGGAGAGGCTCCTGTCTAGGGGTAGCGGAGGCTGGAGGGAGGCCGGCCTGGAGTGGGGTTAGAGGGAAGGCCGGGAAACCCGCGCCCGGTGCCTCCTGCAGCTACAGGTTTCTCCGCGAGCCCGACCGACCTTCCTCCGGTCCGGTGCCGGCTGGAGAAAGGGCAGCCGGGCTTCTTGCGGGCAACTACCGACTTTTGTTAAGATAAGCAAGTGCGTGATTGTGGTCCTTCGCGGCTTCCTCCACCCTCACTCACACTTGACTCCAAACAACTTAGGCAACGAGTTAGGTGGAAACAAATGAAGTTGCTTTTGGGGGATTGAATATTTGAAAAACAGCTCTCTACGATTCAACTTGGATGATGTTGTATATTTTTCTTTTCTCATTTGTGAGAAACTTTCTGTATCCACGGAGCTGCCTTCTCTGGCAAGATGAGCCTGGGGGTCATGGTGGAGTTTTGCTCAGAGCTTCGATGGCAGAGCCCCACCAGCGCTTTGTGGACCCCCGGCTGTGGGCCAGGGCTTTACTGTCCCTTGCAACCCAAGCTGCTTCCCACTGTACAGATGAACGAAGCAAAGGTTGGAGACTATAAACAGCTGTCATTGTCACAGTTAATGAGTGATACCAGAGACCCAGCCCTTTCTCAAAAGCTTGCGGCTATTTTCTATTTAGCAGCACCCTTTAGTTTTGTTTTCTTGATATGCCCTATAAATTTTTTATGAACTTCCGTATGTTTTCCATGCTGTACTATTTCTCTGTGTTCTAGTTCAGTGAAGTAAATAAGTGCATCAAACCACAGGTTGAAAATAACAGAACTTTACGCCAAGTATTATGTTGTTGGTATTGTTTTAAAATATGAAGGAACTAGGTTTTTCAGCGGGGCGGGAGCTGGCTCTGGAGTTTTGTTAAGGATCAGGATGCTTTTTTAAAAAAATGTAAGCAGCCTGACATGTTGGTGCCCACTTGAAATCCCAGCTAGTTCTGAGGCTCAGGCAGGAGGATTGCAAGTTCAAGGCCAGCCTCAGCAATTTAGTGAGGCCCCTAAGCAACTTAATGAGATCCTATCTCAAAATAGAAATAAAAAGGACTAGGCATGTCCTAAAATGGTAAAGTGCCTCTGGGTTCAATCCCTAGAACCACCAACACCACCAACAAAAGCCAATACAAGTGAACTCTGGGAAATTGTTGCAGAAGAGGGCTTCTGGGAATGGTGATTACGGGGTGCTTGAAGGAGGGACAGGAAGGCTGGCTAGGCTCTCCTAGGAGCCCAGGATATGGCAGGGACCCAGACTGGTGTATGGCTATGGTGCTGGATATGGCTRTTGGCACTGCCATCTTTGGTGCTAGAATTAATTAGAAACTATGTGACTTCAGTGTATGCTGCAAGCACAGGCCCAGGRATAGACACCTGATTGGCCCGGCTTGGCTTACCCCTCCAGGACCAATTTGGGGACCTCAGTTGGCCTCATAATGAAAGGCAGGGCTTCCTCCCTCAGGACACACAAAGGTGGGCCCAGAAGTTAGGGAGCCCTCACATCCTGCCCAGAGCGTCCCACATGATGAACACCTAAACAGGGACCCTTTTTTAAAAAAAGAACAATTTTGAGAAGTTCCCATCAAATGAAGAAAAGAAAATGAAGTTGCTCATTCACCCTGTTTGCTTTTTAAACCTGTGTTTGCTGAAATGTGGTTCTTGGACTCCAGACTCAGAACCATGCGAGGTATTTGTTTAAAACCAATCTTTTTGGACCCCTTCTCCTCATGAATTCATTGTGTTTGGGGTAGAAACCAGGAATCTGTAYCCCATAAGTCAGGAAAATGGTAAGAGGGCCTTGTTGATTAGTACCTGTTTAAGATGATAGCCCCTGAGGCAGAAATTTCCAGAGCTTGCAAAATTGAGAGTCCAAACAAAGGTATCTCTCCCATTATGGTAGACCAAATGTTCTGCATGAGGAGCTGCAGTGAGGATTGGGTTGGAGGAAATGGCCATGGGCAATCCTACGGGTAGGATAGACCATCCTTTCAGAGGCTAGAAAGCAGCAAATAGGTAAATGTTTGGTACCACTTTAAAAAAAAAGGTAAAAATGAACATTTTGTGTTAGTTTTTCCCACTGCCATTTTATTTTTACAGTCCTTTACTGAATACCTACTGTGTGCCAGGTCCTCAGATTACAGGCGTGAGCAAGTCAGGATCCCTGCACAGCAGCTGGGATAGACCAATTCAAAGCAACATGACAAGGGCCTTTGGGAGAGCACACTTCACATCCGTGTCCTATGGTTGTATCTGAGAAGCCCATGGTATCTGTAGAAAGCGGAATGGGTGATATCCAACCAAGAGCATAATCGTTCTCAAACTTCAGTTGTCTTAAGAATCAGTCCTGAGGARATTTTATGGAAAATCAGGTTAATGGGCCTCATCCAGAAATTAGGTGTGGCATCTGCATTTTAAGCGAATACCATTGCATGCTGATACAGAAGTTGCTGATACAGAAGCTCAGCAGCTCTTGGGACCAGGTGGAGTTTATCAGGAAGCACCCAGACCTTCTATTTTGGCACAGCCATTAGAGTCAAGGTGAAAAAATGTCTCCATTTGACCTGACAATTTCTTCAATTGTCTAGCATTTCTCTTGTGAGATTTTAATATTTTCTTACAATTTAGTTTAAAATTTAAAATGACGGATCTACACTTCAGAGCAGGATGTAAAGAAATCTGGACTTGCAGCTCCAGTTGCCTCTTAGATCGCTGGCTGCCTGTCTTTGCAGGGGTGAGCTGTAGTGTTTCCCTCCACCTGGAATTTCATTTCTGCCTTTCCACCGAGGAGGGCTTTGGCAGTGAGCTTAACCACAGCTCTCCCTAGTCAGTTCTGACTCTGGCTATAGGTTAATGGTATTACCAGGAAGTGAGCCTTTTTCAGCAGCTGAACCTTTAATCCTTGCAGCTGCTAGGATTAAACTTCTTTAGCAAAACTCCAGCTAAGGTTTGAGTGTTGTGTGTTTGTGTGAGAGAGACGTTCAGAAGGGACCCTTCGAGAGATGTTGCCTGGGTCCTGTGCACATTGTGAGTGTCATGGAGAGCCAAAAGCAAAGTGTGGGGTGAGTGCCTTTGTTCCTGGTAGCCACTTGGCGTCCGAGCAGCCCACGATTTGCTGTAGGGTCATGTTGTTGGTTGCACTGTGCAGAAGAAATTGGAGTTGTGTAATGCATTAGATTTGCATTAGTATCTTCATTCAAATAACTCATGAAATCCACCTCTCATCTGGAGCTTACTTTGACTTGGAATCTAGGTAGTGGGTCCTCTGGATTCTTGTAAAATGTGTCTCTCTCTTTTGATTGTTCCCCTTTCCCTTTTTCACAATGTGCATTTTAGGGGCACCTTTTGCTTATCTTGAAAGTTAACGAGTATGATGTGTATGTAGCTTACAAAATGGCAGCAATGTTTTGCAGAACACCTGGGTGGGGGTCAGGGGGAGACACAGACACACGTGTGAGCCAGATTCCACTTCTGAGTTCTGGGCTGTTCACCTCACCCTGTGACCTGGCACGGGAAAGCAGTTACGTTGATTTGTTTATTTCTTATATTCAGCAGATGCTGAATACGGACACCAGCTGTGTGCCCTGCTCTGTTAGATTCTGGGGATGGAAAGAACCTAAGGTCCACCAGGACAAGGGCGAGGAGACTCTGCCCTGTCTCTCACCTTCCTGTGCCTAGCCATGGAGWTGGTGACCTGGGACAGAGGTTTCCATCAGGATAACTCAGCTTCTTAGGAAGGCAAACAGTAGTGTCATAGGATCTCCAACAGTTTGGTCCCTGACCTCGGGGTCATCCCCCTTTTGGTTTGGATTGTGGGTAAGATGGAGAAGAGGCCTTTGGAAATAAGATCAGTCTAATAATAAGCAGAATTTAAGGCTGAGTGAGTTACCTCCAGGCAGGGAGAAAAACACAGACTTGGAGGAGAAAAGTGAGCATATAGTTATTGCTGGGTGCTCTGTGGAGCCTTGATTGGAGCCTAGGACAATGAGCTCTGTAGGATCTGTGTCTTGGTGTCCTGGCTAGAGCTTGGGCTCTGAAGGCAGACTGCTGAGTTTGAGTTCTGGCTCCTGCGATCATCACCTGTGACTTTGGGGAGTTATGAAAATCCTCATCATGAAGTGGGCTAATGCCTTAAGCAYGCACAACAGCATTTGGAATCTAGTAAGTGTTTGGTAAATGTTAGTTTCCACCATTGCACGGCCCCTCAGTGCCTGCCTATCTGTAGAGCTTGGAAAAGGTCTGTATTCTGAGTCRGCCCCACCCCCAAGGAAGGACCTTCTCTGAGTTCTTGTTCCTGCCAGCCCCTCCCCTGCAGCTCTGGAGCAGCTGTGTGTTTGATTTCCACCCTCCCGGGATTAGGCTGAAGGGTTTTCTCTAAAGCTTTGCAGTCTCCTCTCCAGAGCAGCTCCTGGTGCAGGCAGGTGGCCCGTGTCGGTGACTCTACTACTGTCTCTTTCATTGCCAGAGATGTTGCCTTGAGTGAATGACTCCATTGAAGGAAGCTCTTCTGCGTCCCTTGCTGCAAGCCAGCCCTGCCAGGAAGAAGACTCAGCAGGTCCAGGACCCACTAGACCACCTCTGCACAGGAAGGACCTGTCTTCCCTAAGGCTTCCAGAAGCTACCTCATGTTCAGGGAATCTTGCTAGCTATGGCCCTCCTGTTTGGTATACTGCTGCTGCTGGGGCTTTGTGGGAATATCATCTCAGAAAACACTTCTGAGGCATTGGATTATGAATTGCCTGCATCCGAATATGAGACTGAAGACACCTACAGTCCCGGGCCCATTAGTGTTCTCTTCGAAATGGTGCGCATATTCATCTACATAGTGCAGCCCGGAGAGTTCCCTGAAGGTAAGTGCCGACTTCAAGGAAAGGTGGGATTTTGTCTCCACATGCACCATGGTATTGTTCTTAATGACAATGCAATTCATATCAAATATATTTAGTATTTTAAACTTGAGTTTCAAAAAAGGCTGATTTGCATAGGTGCAAAAAACTTTGAGACAGAACTTCAGTTAATTAGGTTGGCAGCAGTGTGATTAGGATAAATGAAATTCAACTCTATTGCTATGTTGGTTTTCCAAGTCCTTACCTTTTTTACATTTTGTTTTGCTTTGCTTAGAGCAATGAATTTCTCTAAAGCACATACCAAAGGTAAAAATCAAGGTAAAAATGCAATTTCTCTGTCATGAACTGAGAGGTTAATAGCTACCTGGCTCCTCTTGGCGATGTTAGTGCTTACAAATTTAATTCTGCCCACTGCGAAATGCAATTTTGACACTGCTTAAGGAAAGGGCAGACCTGTCCAAACCTATTTATCTTATTAAGTTTGCTTCAGATCTAAGTTTGGGTATAAGAGAGGGGGGTGGAACTCGACGCCCAGTGTGCTATTCTTTGTACACAGTGCAGATGTCCACTTTGGCCTTCTCTTTCTGCTTTATCCTACACATCAGAACTTGGAAGTTGTGATTGTCTTCATGTTAGGTCTATCCCATGCTTCTAGATTTGAATATTGTTATTGATTATAAAATTTATAGCAACCTTTATTATGTTCCTCAACTGGTCAGTTACTCTGTGTGTGTGTGTGTGTGTGTGTGTGTGTGTGTGAGAGAGAGAGAGAGAGAGAAGGAGAATGAATTTATTTTGGTACATCTCATCACTTATTTATATCATGGGAATAGTATAAGGAGTTTCACTAAATACATGTTGATTGAGTTTTTTTTTTTTTACATGTTTGTCTTTTATCAGCTTGAAAGAACTTGAAGTATTTTGGTTAGTTTAAATTTCAATTCAAAGAAATGAGTCTTACTGAGCTCTTACTGTCATARAAGAGTATCCCAAACTAATGCTGCTTACGTTTCATTGCTTGAAAGACTATAAATTTGGAAATTCAAAAGATAAAAGTAGGAAATAAGTTGAACTTATTACTGTTGATTACAKAATTCACTGTTTTGAATGCATCTCTTAGTTTATTAGTAGGCTTAATACAAGTCACATTGAACGAATAAACAAAATAACTAGGAGTGCTTCTCATCTCTACTTCTTTTTTTATGGTACTGGGAATTAAACCCAAGGGCACTTAACCACTGAGTCACATCCCCAGCCCTTTTTAGTTTTTTTATTTTGAGACAGAGTCTTACTAAGTTGCTTAGGGCCTCAGTAAATTGCTGAGACTGGCCTTGAACTTGCAATCCTCTTGCCTCTGCCTCCAAGTCACTGGGATTACAGGTATGTGCCACCATGCCCAGCTTTACTTCTTTTTAAAATATATGTACCAAGTGTAGAATTCAGTTGTTTAATGTGAATTTGCAGTGGATTCTTCAGAAAGATGAGAAGGCTTCCCATGTCTTAGTCTAAAGCTCCTCGTGTACTTGTCTAATCCCTTAATCTCTTTCCATATGTTGTTCTATTTTGCTTCTTCTGAATTTCAAAGGAAGGTTTCCTCATGTTTTACAATGAAAAGCAGTATTTAAAATGTTCCTTCAGATGACCTGAGTAGAGGSGATCTTTTAGTCTTAAACAAAATTAGCAATGCATTTGAAGATTCTGAACTCCAGCAACATTGTTAGTCTAGGAAATACCTGAAGAATTTAAATCCAGAGGTAATCTGAGGTGTTAGCCTGGTTTGTTCCTTGACCTTCATCAGTACTTCGTAGCTTGGAGCAARATATTATCAGAAGTTTCAGCAGAAGAGCAGAGTAGACCATCCTTACAACCTTTTTGGGGAAAATCTAATATTGAATATAATGAATGACACCTTGCAATGTTGGTTTTTCTCCACCATCTTGCTGTTTATATTCTTTCACTCAGCTAATGGATTTCATAATGGTCTCAAAGTGTTCACTAGGGGTTTTACAGTGTTGTRAAGGACACATATTAGTCAGTCACAATTTTTCCATTTGGGGCAAATGCATTTCATGGGCATTATAGATATCTTCAAAAGCAAAGATGCAAAAGCATCCCCCCCATAAAAAGTAAAAAGAGGAATTCTTATTTCTTATTCATCAGTTTAACTAACTTAGTTTATTAACCAAAACAAAACTATGGGGTAAATATAATATTTTCACAGAAGATACTATCCCATGGGTATATTTTTTTATTTGAAAGAACAAAAGTACTTTGAATGCAAGGTTCCACTGTGGCTTGAGGACTGGGAAAGGAAGGGACAACCCTGGATCTGGGCTTTTTTTCCCCCCCAGTACTGGGGATTGAATCCAGGACCTCGGACACTGAGCTACAACCCCAATCCTTTTTATTTTGAGAAAGGGTCTCTCTAAGGTCTTGAAGTTGGAATCCTCTTGCCTCTGCCTCCTGAGTGGGTGGGATTACAAATGGACACCACTGTGCCTGGCCCCATCTCATAATTTTTTTTATATACAATTTTCAATTTGCTATTTATTTTTTWATGTGGTGCTGAGGATTGRACCCAGGGCCTTGTAAGTGCCAGGCCAGTGCTCTATCACTGAGCCACAATCCTAGCCCCCCCCCCACCCCCGTCTCATAATTTTTAAGAATTCAGCATGGATTTTTCTTAAGATTTTATATGCAAAACTTTGTGAACAGTTWTTGTTGGCCAGAGGATATAAATATGAAAAACTCCCCCGTCTGGGGGCAAAAAAAAGGGGGAGCCTGGCCAGGTGCAGGGGCACACACCTGTCATCCTAACTGCTGGGGAAGCCGAGGTGGTGGGATCTCCAGTTCCAGGTCAGCCTGGGCAACTTACTGAGCCCMTGTTGTAAAACATAAAGTAAAGCTCTTCTGGGTTCAGTCTCCAGCCAGCGCTGGAGGGAAGGAAGATGAGGGAAGTCCTGCTTTCTGCAGCGTCCTTGCTGTGAGTTGGGAATGGTACCTGAGGACAGCTGCTAGGGTAGGTCACTGGGGGTGGAGGCTCCTGCCATGGTTCAGAGGGTTGATGGTGAACTCACAACAAAGCAGAGGGTCACGGGGAGGTGGATACAGTATGTATCTATGGCCAAAGAACTGTAGCATAAATCTTGGCTCTTACTGTTGCCTTCTGGGAGGTCTTGGTCAAGTTCTCCCACCCCCAGACCCTCTTTTCCCTTGGATGGAGTATGACTATCACCATAGCCCACTTTGGCTTTGTGCAAGGCTTAAATGCGATGCTTGCTGTATGTGTAGCCTTTGTTTAAAACCTTGCCGGAAAGGCACAGAGAAATAGGCTCAATAATTATAGTTGCTATTGACTTCAATATTTGAGAGGGAGGGTTGGCCAGATAGCAGGACTGGTTGAGAGCCGTGTGTAGGAATGAGAAGGTGTCTCCAGGAAGGATCCCGAAACCGACCACATCGCTGTCCCAGGAACRTTCCTCATGGAATGGCCCCATTGGATGCACTTTTGTTACTTCTGGTTGGAGGGTCTCCTGAGCGCCCCCATGGGAGCAGAACCAGGCAGAGAAGACAGTGCGATGCCCGTGCCCTGAGTGATCTGCACTGCGCTGCGCTGTCTGTCCAGCAGGCTCTTGGTTTGTCCATTTCTTTTTTCCTTTTTGCTGTCCCAAGCCTCCTGTCAAGGCTGGCTTTGCCATGCGTCAGCTCCCTGGATTCCCCACAGCTGGGGGGTGGGTGATGGTGGTCGGTAGGGTTGCTATTTCTACTTATTATCCTCCCCTTTACGGATGTGAAAACTGAGAAAGACATTACACATTCAGGGTGTGCCAGTAGCAAGTGGCAGCCRGAGAAACCCTAGCCCCCAGGACCAGTTATCCTTCCCATAACCYATATCTCCCTTGTTTTCCTTCCATTTTACTGTGATGCTTTTAAAACTAACCACGGGCAGGACCGGGGATGTGGCTGAATGGTAGAGCAGCAACAAAACCCCCACGAGTTAAAGAAGAGAACAAGAAAGCAAGCAAAGAAAAAGTTTAGAAAAAAGAAAGAACCCAAATAACCATTAGTTGGTAGGGAAAATAGTAAATTTTGCACATTAAAAAGAATGTACRAACCTGATGGGGTCGTTAAGTACCTCTTTTGGTTTTATGTGGCTGGGATGAATTTGGCCTAAGAACCAGATCTGAGCTGCTCTAGTGAAGCAAGCAAAGGAAAAACACTCATCTGCTTTTAGTTTTATAAATTGTCTGAAATGGTTCTCTACATTGCTTCGGTATATTTTTTAAACGAGCTCTTTGGATGGTTGACCTATTTCTAAAAGCATTTTCGGCTGATCTGATTTGCTCGGAGAATAGGGTTGAGATAGAGGTACCAGGGGGGAAGTCGGGGTACTTGGGGAGTTGGGGCTGCTGCCAGGGTGTTGTAGTAGCTGCTCAGTTGCAGGTGGGGAAACTTACTCACTAGGTTGACCAAAACAGGGAGTTTATCTTCAGAACTCCAGGTGCCTCCTGGTGCTCAGTGAGGTAGGAGCCACAGGACTGCGCCTCGCGCTCAGGATCCTTCCGCTGTCCATCTTGGCTCCTCTGAGCATGTCCACGCTTGGCACCTCCTCCCCACCCCTTCCCATCTGGTTCCCCCTCTGCCACTGTCCTTGTGGTGGACATTGCATTGTAGAGAGTGGCCAAGAGTTCTTTCTCTTCTTGTCCCAATTCTTCATTCCCCARGGATGGCCTCTGGACCCCAGGGCCAATTGCCAACTGTGAGCCCATTGAGTGGCTGTGGCCAGGATGGTGCTGTGTGGGCCTGGCTCACCTACCACTTGCCACCTGCCACCATGGCACCATGCCACCATGGCATCAGTGGCAAAGGAGAAACCTGCAGTAAAGGCAAACCTTGGTGGACAGCCCAACAGAGTGTCGGTGCCAATGTTCATGCAGCCCTGGGCCCCCACACCTGTGTGTTCTTACCTAAGTCACACAAAGCCAGCATTGTTCCCTAGAGAC